CCCCCCCCCCCAGTGCTGGCGGTCGCTTCCCCCTCCACGCGCCCGAGGTTGGTGCTGCAGGGCTCGGCCCGTTACCTGTGTGCGTCCACATAGAAGTTGGTTGAAAGGGCGTGAGATGCAGCGGAGGCTTAGTTGAACGTAAGCTGTGCGGACATGGACGGGGAACAGGGGTTGGATGAGGGCACGCCTGGGATAATAAGATGCAGCGGAGTTTGTTCACATGAATAGTAACATGCAGCGGAGGCTTGTTTGGTCATCGTTTCGTTTCAGTGCGGCTCATGACATGACGCGACTTCAAATATTTGCCGCGCTGGCCGCGGCCAAGGTTGTACGCGGGTGGTGACGCGGGCGGTTAGTGGTTGGGGACTGACATGAATGTTCATCAAGTATTGCTGGGAGTCTCAAGTTTAACACGTGTACCAAAATGCCGGCCTCAAGACAGGGAGGGAGTGGTTTGACAAACACACCCATGGGCACGACACGCCAGCCACATCACAACCCCACACACGCAAACATCTTCGCGTCCTTCTTACCGAAGCCGACAAACACATATCAAGGCAAAAACCTTGCTTGTCACAAATCACCTTCGCTCATGCACGCAATGACGTAGGGCTACAAACGTGAGGTGAGGTGACATTGATGTGGTATCAAAATAATCGGTCACGTGTGTGTGTCGTTCCTTTTTCCTTTCTTTTCTTTTCCGTCGGCAGGCGCAACCCTCCCGAGTGTACGTACCAAAAGATAGAATACTGCTGCTGCTGTGCTACAGGTGCATACGCGTTTGACGTACAAATGTTGACGTATGCATTTTCATGTCAGCCGGGGTCACAGAGCAGCAAGAGGTGCAGTACAGCAGTAGAAGAAGGAGGTTGTATGCATTTTCGGTCAAACGAAGGAGAGTTCGAAATTCAATTTTTTGCGACGTGCCTATGCTATGCCTAAGCTACAGCAGCAGTCGCGACAAGTCAGTGCAATGCGATGATGCATTTCAATACGGGTCTGTCTATGGATCTGTGCGCAAAGCACGTCTTAGATTGGATTCTCGAGCTGCTACGCCTTTACTTCCATAATACATGTATTTGCAGGACAAAGGGGTATATGTATGAATCCCACCCGCCCACACACAGCCGCAGCGTACAGGAAGAAGAAGAGAGTGTGCGCGGGAAAGACAAAAAAAGGCTAAGTTCGACACTCGAGAGGTAGTAGCATACCACCTTACACTACTCGGAATAGGAGTGTCACCGAGTCGGTCGGAGTACCGAAGCCGACCTTGCCAACAACGGACGCGCAGCAGCTCATGCAACTGTAGCAGCAGTGCTATGTATACACCCGCAATGTTGCGCGCGATGTCAACCAACAGCTTTCCGAACTTCCAAATTCTGAATGACGGACGCAAGGCACCCTGTTTTTCGAACCCTACCAATGCGCGGTGTCGTGAGGAAACGCGCAGCACCGGGCGAAAATATAATATCAAGGATGCGGAGTATGGGATGGCACGCAGGCATGGTTGGGTAGGGTGGACCGCTGGGCTTGGCGAGCGATTGCCGCCGAACTGCTTCACGCAACAACGACATAACGTCTGTTTGAAGTTTGGAAACCGGCTGGAGGGACGCATATTACGATTCATCGATGACCAAAAAAAACGGTTCTCTCGACGACAGGAGGAGGCAGCACCAGCGGTGTCCGGCGCTTCTCTGTCGTGGTACAAACAAAGTGCCCAAGTTTTTTCATTCGGACGTACACAGCCGCCGCCACTATTGACCAAACCAGTGTGCACAGGGGAGGACCGAAGTGCGGTTTATTGGTTGTCGGCGACGGCTGGCATTGGTTCAACCACCGCCCCGCGCATCGGAGACAGAGAGAGAAAGAGAGCGCTCTCCGTAGTACCTCCTGGAGGCGATTGATTCTGTATGTGCGACGAGCGTATTTTTAGGTGGAGATGAATAAGACCAGAGGTTTTACCATGTCGCCGCCAACGCCAGGCCTTTGCTGCGCTGTTCACAACGACAGCGCGCATGGGCTCCTCTCCAACAGCAGCACGGGACAGCGAGAGAGCACGACGACGGTTGCTCGGCCCGCCCGCCCGCCCGTCCGTCCGCCATTTTTCGAAACCAAAATGAAAATAACGTCCCACGCCACCAAGCCGACGCACCGCGATACGATATTTCTCGGGACAATCATCATCACAAAGCGGCCGATTCTACCATCTCGTCCCCAGCAGCGGATTGATATTCATCGGTCCGTTGACGCTCTCCAGGGGGGGAGGTCGTCCCAGGGGGCCGGGCCAGACGCAAGGCACACACGCATCGATCGCCATCTGCCCGGTGACCTCATCAGCGCAGCGGGGTAATCTGCTTGCCAAGCCCGGGCGGCATCTAATCTGAGGGACGTTCAACAACGCTACCCAGCGCGGCCAACTATTCTTTTACCGTGGTTTTTTTCTCGGCGGCCGAAGTTGTGGTTCCGGCGATGAGAACAACCGCACACGCGCGTCGTCGTCACCGGAGACGAAAACCAACTCCACGACCTCGACACAGCTCCCGCGTTCCCTCTCCCTCTCTCTGTCTCTTTTTCTCTCTCTCTCTCCCTCGTGTCTTGTTCTCACCTTCGCCGAAGTGTAGCAGTCGAGGCTGCAGTAGCCCCGGCCCAAACCGTCATCATCATTGCTTGCGTACTCCACTTGAAACTGGCCAAGCCCGTAGCCGCAACCCCTACACCTCTCTCTCGAACCACGCCCCGACGACGACTGCGCCGGCGAAGCCGTCCGCTGGTAGACCATGATGATGCTTTACCTCCTCTCAATTCAAGCCTGCGGCATACTCGTTTGTTATTGTTGTGTGTGTGAGAGAGCGGACGGCGGAGATGGTGTGTACGTACGTATCATCGATCGATTGGGCAGCCAAAAAAAAAAAAAGGGCTTGGGACCAGATGAATCCACGTCCTTGAAGTCGGTCAGTTGCCCCGCCCTTCGGCTAAGTTTCCCTGCCGTGGAGGTGCTGCTGCTCTGCGGTGTGGGGACCGATCATCAAGCGTCAAAATAAGCACTGCCGAGAGTTTGTGTTGACGTCATGGGCAGCGAGGTGTCGGCGACGGAGCTGGAGATGAAAGATGCCGAGGCGCAAGGTGGCTGTTTGTCTGTCTTTTTACTTACATAATTAATAAGTCATCACTGGTCCCACGGGGTTTGGCTGCATCATCAGTGTAGCTTGGTTGATGATGCGTGGTGTTGCTTGGTTCGTGCACGCGTGGCAAAATAAAACTGCCAGCTGGCAGCTGGCAGTGTAGCCTACTTTTGGCAACCCATCAATCCCTACTGCTGCTGTAGGTTCGACGTCCATCGGAACTGCTGTGTACCAGCTCTCCACTCCGTAGGACAGCAGTGTTGGCACGCATTGATCTGTCTTTCAGTGCAAGTAGCCAGTGGGCAAGTTGCGTGCGTGCACTTAATTGGATTCGACTGGCTTTTTTTTTATCCTTGTGTCGTTGAAGCTCGGGAAGCAGGCACGTACATAAATCCCAAGCAAAGAGCAAGCGGAGAGCTAAATTGTTGCTGTGCTTGGTTGGAACAGCATCCGTGAGCATTAACACAGGTAGCAGTCTACAGCAGCACTTAGCATAAATAAAGAGGATTAACCAGAAACGGGTATACCCGGATAGATTACCACCATGTCAGGGTACACTTGGAAATCAAGACGACACCAATCTCCGACAGCATCCGCCGTAGATCACGGCGAAACCAATAAACCGCTGTCTGTGTCCTGTGTGTCCTGTGCCTCGGAAGCATGATGCACGAGGCAGCTCGTGCCCATTTTTCTCTCTCTCTGTGCCTCTGGTATCCTCGTAATCCGCTATGTAGTCGCAGAGGTCTTGAGTTCGAATCCCCATGGGGTGAAAAAATTACGAAATGTTCGGGTGAAAGCGACATAGCTGACAAGCTCTCGTGAGTACCAAACTTCGACGTTAGAACCGTTGACGAGGGAAAGGGACGGCTGGACCCTTCTCGCGATAAGGATAAAGATTCAGCACGCACCGCAGGAGGAAGGTGGGGCGTGAAATGAAATAAAGGAAAAAGCTCTGGTGTTTAACCCCTCCTGTGTTTTTGTTGTTTGTTCNTCGCAGAGGTCTTGAGTTCGAATCCCCATGGGGTGAAAAAATTACGAAATGTTCGGGTGAAAGCGACATAGCTGACAAGCTCTCGTGAGTACCAAACTTCGACGTTAGAACCGTTGACGAGGGAAAGGGACGGCTGGACCCTTCTCGCGATAAGGATAAAGATTCAGCACGCACCGCAGGAGGAAGGTGGGGCGTGAAATGAAATAAAGGAAAAAGCTCTGGTGTTTAACCCCTCCTGTGTTTTTGTTGTTTGTTCGTTTTTCTCCCATCATGGGACTCTGTCGTCTGCCCCTCTGGCCCCTATCCTCCACTTCTACTAGCTAGACGACCCAACCGGGGTCACATAGGACGGGGGGGTTGGACCCCCTCCTGCGGTTCATGCCTGGGGTGTTTTTATCGCGAGAAGGGTACAGCAATCCCTTCCCTCGCGACTTACGAAGTCGATTATGGTTTACTAACAAACGAGCTATGCAGCGCGTCGCTTTCATCCTAGACCAGGATCTATTTAGTGAGAAAAAAACTCTCTCTGCCGGGACTCGAACCCATAACCTGGCCCTTAGCACGCTGCGAGGCTACCCACTAGACCACCGGGGCGACCGGTATGACCCTGGATGGTTGTAGTTGTACGAAAAAATGCACACACACAAAATACAGTGGAGGACGAAAACACACACACACACACACACTCGCGCGTCAAGCGAGTCCGACCTTCTGTTGAGAAGGGCCGGTATCCTATGGAGGCGGTGCCCATGAACGATGAACGAGCGAGCGTTGGTGGTGGTTTGGTTGTGGTTATGTATGTGTGGTACACGGTATGTATTTGCTGCACACGGTTTTTTCTGCGGGTTTTATGCTAGAGCGTCGGCCGCCGAGATTATATGACCATTTCTGGGTACAAAATTGACCTCTTCCGGGTACACCAGAAACCAGTATCGGTCACACCAGAGGGTCCTAATTCCAGCGGAAGTTGTACCTGCCGGAGGCTCTTCAGAAATGGGTACAATGTTTTTTCGGCCAATGAGCTGACAGGCTGGGGGTGCAAGCGTGTTGATTTCTAACTGTACCCTGAAGTGGTGATGAAGTACCCGGGTATACCTGTTTCTGTTTATTGGTCATAAATTAATGCACACCCCTGCGCAGGTAGACTCAGAATTTCAAATCATCCACGAAGCATCTCCATCCATCTCCTATTTGAATCAATTTCCCCGCGATCCATCCACCAACTCTGTACGTAGGACTGTGCCATGAAATGACCCAGCGGCTGAAACTGCTGCACGAAGAGAAGACTGCCCTTTCCTCCGACCTGAGAACGCTGTCTGCAACCAGGTCTTCATCGTCAACAGTCAGGTATATTGCTTGCGTACAAGCCGCTTTGTACTTTGTACCGTTTTACACATGTATGATGCATAGATAGGTGACACGAGATACCGTACATCCCCGGGCCGTCATTCGCAGCTCGGTTACTCCGAAGCAGAGACAGCAGTGCCAGTATGCATACCAACAGAGGCAGCGTTGGAACCGTCTCACCGAGAGCTTTCCGAAAACGTGCCAGATGTTTTGAATGCTCTTCGTCGTCGAGTTGTAACGGAGCATTGAAAATCGCGCCGGGTGTGTGTGGCATCTTGGGTCACGTACGAGTAGTCCACACAACAGCACTACACGTAGTTAACAGATAATTTCGACAATGTACCACACGTGTAGTATACAGACGTCTGCTACAAAGGTACTTTTCAACATGGAGTCAGCCGCCAAAGGTACTTTTCAACATGGAGTCAGCCGCCAGAGCTCTGAGGCCGATCGGCAAGGAGCAAGCTAACTCTGACGTAGTCTGTAGTCTTATGTTGGTGTCTTGCTCGTCGTGCTCATCACATGGATGCATGCAAGATGTACAGGGAATTGAATTTGGAGTAGGGTAGAGTAGTCGCAGACCATTTTCCACCCCCCGCCAAAAATTGAAAACCACCTCCACAGGTTTATTGATCGGACCATCAAAACCTACATTATTTCTAATAGATGTCAACTTGCCATCTTTTCGAGGAAAATATTAATATTGGAAGGAAGGGCGGCGACAAACCTATTCTCTCCTAACGCTTGACCGCTGCGGCACCACCTGTACTCTGCACGTACATATGTGAGCGTTGTTCCATGTTGTCCTACATCGCTCTCGGAGCGTCTTTCGAAATGTATAATGTAGTTACACACAAGCAGGAATTCTCGCTCGAGACTGAAATCTCAGGGAGGATGCGTTGAATCTTTGCGGCGACCCTTGAGTGCCTCCTACTTACGTTTACCCGCTGCAGCTAAACGGCAAAACAATTTTTTGTCGGCAATGGGTGCGCGAAACACGAACACTACAAAACAGATTGGTCGCTGCGGACAATGCGATGGCGGCGATGGCGAGTTCCGGAATCGTCGGGGTGTTCGCAGGAGTGGCCCTGGCAAGGTTGCTAGCTGCGAGGAGAGGGAGGAGCCGTTGGAGCCGTCGACAACAAAAGACAAGGATCGACACTTAACTTTGTAACAACCGACTGACGACATGGACACGCCGATCGAAGTTCTTCCTTGTCAGCGTTTGTTGCCTAGACTAAATGTATCATAGAGAGCGATGAAATTTTTGGTCAGGCACGTTCATATGGGCGAAGCGGGTTTTCCTCATCGGCTTTTGTTTTGTTGCGTACTTGTTGTAAATATTTACATTTTTACTTTTTGTAGAGAAGTAGATCTTGGTATACCTGTACGTGTATCAGACACGTTGGCATGAACTAAGCGGGGTTTGTGCAGTCTACTGTACACCACGGGCCAACCGAGTGTCCACCCGAATGAACCAAGACGTTAGCAGCACCTTTCACACGCATGCTGCATACAACTCCGTCGTAGGCATAGCCTAAGTGTGATGCGTACACGGGATGCCCGCTCTTGTGCATGTACGGCTTTTAAGCACCAGAGCGGAGGACCTTCGGCACAAAATATTGCGCGGGGTTCCTTCAGCCGCTTACGGCACATGTCTTTCACAAAAACGCATGGTAGTGGTGTGAAGACATGACATCGCTTCGGTCAACACCGTCCTAGGCGGCAACGACAAACGCTTGCCAGCATGGCGAGACCTCTTGAAGTGGTACGAAGTGTGTACGAAGTAGAAAGCTCTGAGTAGCGTTGCAGACATGTTCGTGTGTTCCCATAAGAAGCACAGCATCTGGCCATGAGGCCTGTATTTCTGCTAACTGTATTCCTCGAGCTAAGCCAAGTGATCCTTGACGTGCAATAACGTCAACAATGCTGCGGCAGCCAGGAGCCGAAAGCCACGTTGCTCTTCACAATTCAACTGCGACACACACCATCCACAAAAATAATACTCCAACCCACACCGCAATCACAAAGCCAAGCCATAAATAATTTCATGTTCGACTTCTCACCCAGCGATCACACGCGGACACAGCTAATGTCGACGTAGACGCTGTCGACCCCCTCCCCCCGTGTAGCCCCCCTGCCCACACAGTAAGTGATTTCCATCAATACCGCCTCTTTCAAGAACTACTCACCCCATCATGTTTTCATGTTTAACTTGATGCCCGTGTCTCACCTCTGTTCAGGTGTACTGACTGTGTGCCCCCTCACGACGTTCACTGGGGTTGGTTCTAGAAACGGAGGAGAACCACTCCAACCATGCATATACTCTAATGTCGAAGTTGCCTTCCCGTGATGCGTGTGGCACACGTCAAGCCTAGTGGCAAAAAAGTTGTGAGCTGCTACAGCAACCGCACCGTTAGTTCTTTCCCGAACTACTGCAGTTCAATCACCGTCGATGGACTTACATACAAACGCAGGTCTTTTGCTCGACAAAAATAACTAGATTAAGTACAATTTTTAGAGTATTTAACCGCGTGCGACCTTCGCGTCGACAATCTAAACAATTTTAATGAGCCTTCGTGCTGTACTGTACTGTGAGAGGCAAGAGTTGCTCTATCCGACGCCGTACTTGGCACGGTAAGCCCTCATTGCTTCCAGCGCCTGGGAAAACAGGCAGTAGCACCGACGGCACCACCACCATTTCACACGCACACGCATGACCCGCAGCAGCAGCACCACCGCCATGAGCACGAAACGCCAAATGTCAACCGCCAACAGAAGCACATGGGGTACGACGCACGAGGAGAGGAAGAGGGACGTTACAACTGAGTCAGCGGAGGCGAGAAGAGGCACCGTATGATCGACACAATGTACTGCACCCCCCCCCCCCCCCCCCCCCCCCCCCCCCCCCCCCCCCCCCCCCCCCCCCCCCCCCCCCCCCCCCCCCCC